AACATGTTCTAATACTACTTAATATCAAAGAAAATATCATTTACTGAATAATGAAAAAGAAGATGTTACAACAATGTTTATACTTATTACTTGACACAACTTATTGCAATTATCAAATTTTTTCTTATCAAGCTTTTGGTGTTGTTATTAGTGATTCGATAAATTAATATTAATAAAAGCAAATGATACACTAATTTGGATACTTTTTCTATTAATTTTTGAGTTATTTTCTTTTATTTTATTTCTTATTTTGTTCCGTGTTCAAGGTACAAGATTTATGATTATATTGAACCATTTTGTACAATAAGGGGATACATGAGTTGAAGTCAATGATGCAAATGACTTATTTGCAAACTACGTTAAATAAAACAATTTACTTACCCTTATCCTTCAAATATATGCACTTTTCAACAATAAATATCACAAAGCTTTGTCCACATTTGTTAGTGATTTTAAATGAAGAAATAACCATCCTAATACCTATACTCAAGGGTGGAATGAATTTTTATATTATGTTTAAAATCATTAAGAGGAAGAACAAATTTATTATTCGTATTTTTACTCACCGTAACCACTTTGTGTAGAACATTCATGAGGAACCATCACATAACAGATGTTTTAAAAATATTCATGGTTGAAATAAATTTCACCTTTGAGAGGAAAAGTACTACTCTTTGAAGTTTCAACATGCAAGTTCAACAAATATCTAAATAATTAGAGGAAGAGACATTATTTGAGGAAAATGATGCTGAGTTGATGAGTTAAAATGAAGTGGTAATAAAAGTTAAGCTAATTGTTCAAAATTATTTGTTGTAAATAAAAGATGAACTACTCATTAATCCTCCAAAGAAACAATATGAACTAAAGCTGATAATTTTACTAAAAAAATTTGAATTTATTTAATTTCTTTTTTAAAAAAATAGTATAATATTTTTACTGCATAAGTGCATAGTTTCATTTCATAACTTTTTAAAAATAAAAATTGAGATTTATGCATATTTTGAAAATTGAAGCGATTTTTAATTCATAAATTTGTCTTTTTAATTTTCTTATTTCTTTTAATTTTTGAAGATTGAAAATGAGGCATGCTGTAAAAGGTTAAAACTTTCTTTAAGCAAATATTTTTAACTCAAATTTTTTTTTATGAAAACAAAATTTTAATTATAAAACCATTTAAGTAAGTTATTGTTAAGATAAGTGGAAATTTAAATTTCATTACAAGTACAACACTACTAAAAGCATAATGACAACTTTAGTATATTCAATTTCAAACAATTATGTTTACATAATTTTTTATTTGATCATTTATATTTAATTTATTCTAAATTAGTTGCTCAATTTATATTTTTCATATTATTTTTATAAATAATTTCTTAAAATTTTTTAGCATTTATTTATATAACATCTCAATTGTCTCATATAATATAATAGAATATGAATTTGATATAAACGACAATATCACATTTACACCTTCAATTTTTTTATTCCTAAAATATAATTAAAAATTCATAACTTTATGAACAATAATTTTATTATGAAATATGATACTTTGAACGACATGTCTTATATACATCATATTCTAATTAAATTATATGAGACAACTCAATTAGATGTATTTAGGTAATGAAATATGTTAACCAATATACATTAAAAAATATTTTTTAAAAATTAAATTAAATTATTAAAAATGACCAAATTAAAAATTGCAAATTTTTTACTAACTAAAAACTTTATTTAAGCCAAACAACTATAAACAAAGTTATATACATAATATTTCTAAATAATTAAACCACACGAGACGTAGGTATATTTTGTTGATAAAGAAGCATAAAGCCATCATTATTTTTAACTCATTACTTATAGAAAACTTGTTCTACCCAAGAATTACAGGGTCAAATATTGAATATGCAAGAAGATAGAGGTCTTCAAGCAGCTGAAAAATAATAAAAATAATGTGAGCATCTCAAATGTGTAAATGAAATGAAAATATGTTGAATTACTTCCAAAAAATATTTAAAAAATCCTATTTATAAAAAAAATAATAACACTAACATATTTTAAAATTATAAAAAATATCAATATTATTAGATTGATGACAAATAATGTTCATCACTTTATATGAAAAACTTTTATCACAGTAATATTGGAATCTTACACTCTTTTTTTAAAAACAATCAGGTAATGAGAATCAAGAATTTTGTTTTTATTTTAGGTTAAAACACATATTAAGCTCTTGTAGTTAAAACTTATTTATAAATTTATTTTTATATTAAAATAATTTATATTTTAATTTTTATACAAGGATTTTTATTATTATTTTTTTTACTTTTGATCATTACCATTAAATTATACTTAAAAAATATGATTCAGTTAATAGTAAATTTTATTAACGGTGTTCTACTATATTTTGTTTTTTATGCAAGCATCAAAATAAAAAAGGAATATAATATATTAATTTTATTATTAAAAATTAAAATAAAAAATGAAAATTGAAAGATTTTCTATATTTTTTACATGAATTAATCTCCATCTGAACATTCTTTTAAAAAAAAGTGCTACTTGAAAAACTTGAAATATTCGAAAACATATTTCTCGTTATGAAAGCTGTCTATGTGCTCTCTCTCAGGCCTATAGGAGCAGGACTAAATGAAGGGGTACACAACTCCTTTGAAGATATCCTCGTCTGGGGAAACAGTATCATGGAAGAAGAGGTGAGAGTACAGTACAGTTTATAACTTTTTTTAGCTACAGAGTGTTCTACAACCACTTCTACAACTACAGTGTTAACTAGTTTCATAACTCAAAACACAGTGTCCTAATTAATTAGCAAGAACAACCACTTTTTTTATACCTTCAGTTTTTTTGTATTCCTAAATTTTAATTTCAAAAACAACAATCTTATAAACCACAGTTTCATTTAGAAATATGATGCTTTAAATAACATGGATTAAGTAACACAAGTTAATAATGAAATAAGTTAACAAATCTTTAATAAAACATACAAACAATTATTTTTAGGAGATTAGATTATTTCTCTAAAAGTGACTAAATAAAGAATTTGTAAATTTTTAAATAATTAAAACTTTATTTAATTCAATTAACTATAATTAAAGATACTTAAACACATGATATTTCTAAATAATCAAAACACACAAAATATAAGTATATCCTATTGATAAAGAAGAAACATAATTGCTTGCAGCTTGCTCCCTCGTTACTTGTAGAAAACTTGCTCTAACCAAGAATTACAAGCTCAAATATTGGATATGCAAGAGGATGAAAGTCTTCAAGAGACTGACAAATAAGAAGAAGAATGTGAGTCACTGAAATGTATAAAAGAAACAAAAACATGTTGAATTGCTTCCAGAAAATATTAAAAAGAATCCTATTTAAAAAAAGAAAAATAACATTAACATGCTTCAAGAATTTGAACAATAACAATATTACTAAATTGATAACAGTCATTACCTTATAAGAAATACGTTCATCACAATAATATTAGTATTCTTGCACATTTTATTAGACTTATAAGAAAAGCATTCACCTAATAATATTAGTATCTTTAAGTAACGAGAATCAAGATTTTTTTTTTTTAAGTTAAAATACATAGTTAGTTCTGGTGGTTGACACTTATTTATAAATTAATTTTTATACTAAAAGAATTTATATTTTATTTTTTATAAGAATATTTTGTAATATTTAGTCCTTGTCAATGTCATACTATTTAAAAAATATGACTCAATTAATAGTAACTTTTATTAATGTTATTATATTACATTTCGTTTCCTCTGCAAGCTTGAAAATAAAAATAAAAACTGATAGCATTTTTCAACATTTTTTGACACGATTTAATCTTCATCTCCACATTTTTATTTTTATTTTTCATAACTATTAAAAGATATTCATTGGATAAGTTACAAGAATTAAAAAATAACTAAGTTATAATTTAGATTAGGTATTACCTATGTAACTCATTAACTTTAAAACACAAAGATAAAAAAATCTTAAAAATGAAAAGTAATTACTGAAATTGTGAAAAGCGATACAAAGATTAAGAAAAATGAGAGAAGATAACAAGAATGAGCAAAGAAAATTATGAAAACTTATATATGTTAAACTTTTGGTTAAATTGATTAGCTAGTCTCTATAGTTTCTTTAAAATTTTAATTAGGTTTTCCTAATTTAAAATCTTTTAATTAAATCATTATAATTTTTTTAGTTAAATTCTTGATAATTAGCATTATCTTTATAATTATATCTGTTAAGTATCAATGACGTGATATTTTTTTAATTTTGTAATTTTTTACTTTTAATATTATTTTTTTAAATAATTTTTTTTTAAATTTTAAATTATATTATTATTGGATGATATCTTTGATATTAAACTATTGACAATACATTTGAATTTTACATATTGTTAGAGACAAACTTACAGTAAAATTTCTTTTGATGTTTTACTAATTTGTTATAATAAAATAAGTATATAAACTTGGTCTAAAAACATGAATTTACAAAAGAAGTTAGACTCTAAACTTAAACTTTTTGAGGAGTAATTTTCAAGAGTTTTCAAAGTTTTAAGAGTGATTTAAAATCTTTTTTTTTTCTTTTTTTAGTGTTTTTTGGTTTAGAATATTTTGATACAAATATTATTTGTAAAGTTTATTTTAATTAATAAAAAATAATATGATAATAAGTATTGACAAGTCTGATAATGTATATGATATTGTAAAATTCTTATTGAATAACCGTTTTTATGAATTAAGGGTTTCTAAATTATCTCATGCCTAATTCAAAACTATTTTTAGATTATTAAAAAATTAATTATATTAAAAGTTAAAAAAATATGAAATGTTATAATCACAACTAATATCACTCCGTAATTTATTAAACATTTTATTATAAAACTGTATCCTATAAACAATTTACTAATATTCTAGAATAACAATAAAAATGTATATTACCTGCTAACCTTTAGCCATTATTACCAGCAATGCTCTGGATCAACGCCTGTACTTGATAAGTTTAATTGCAACCATGACATAAACAGAGTCTATGAAATTGTTCAAGAACTTGAAATAAGCATGCCTCCAAGAACGCTTAATCAAGATTGAGCCGAAGATCCCCCAAAAGCCTATAACAAATCCAAATGTCATGCTAATGTAAAATCCACGAGTGAAGAGCGAATCATCTTTCTCTTGAATTGGTTCTTGCGGTGGTTCCCCTTCAACACACAATTTCTCAAGTGGCGCCCCACAAAGATCAAAATTATCTTCATAACTGGAAGCATTGAAACTTTGTAATTGTGTACCAGTTGGAATTGCTCCTCTTAGATGGTTATGCGACAAATCTAACATGGTGAGTCGATCAATTTGAGTAAGACTCCATGGAATTGAACCAACAAATTGGTTTCTTGATAAGTCAAGAAATTCAAGTGATGCAAGCTTTCCAATATTTGAAGGAATTTCTCCTCTCAAATTGTTTCTTGATAAATTCAATGAAATCAATGCAAATAAATCCTCTATTTCTGCTGGAATTTCTCCTGAGAAGTTGTTGCTAGAGAGATCAATGCTTTTTAAAAGGAAAAGCCCATAATTCGTGAACATTTCTTCCGCACCTTTCCACATTAAGATTGCATTCAAATCATAAGACCTATTTCCCCTCATATAATTAGCGTTGAAAAAATATAAATGATTTGGATGATCCTTCGAGGGAGTCTTTCGAGCCATTGAAGTGAAATTTTGGAAGCATTTAGGAATTTGTCCAGAGAAATTATTGAGTGAGAGATCCAAAAGTTGAATGCTTTTTAGATAACAAATTTGTAATGGCAAACTTCCAAAGAATTGATTCCTTGCTAAGATTAAAATTTGCAACACTTGCAACGTGCTTCCAATCCAAGTAGGGATAGGTCCTGATAATCCATTTTCTGCCATATCTATCATTACTAACTTTGTGCAACTTCTCAACGAGAAAGGAATTTCCTCTGTTAAGTTATTGTTTCTCAATAGCAGTGCTTGAAGTTGAAGAAGTGATCCTACTGAAGTAGGAATCTTTCCTGAAAATTTATTATGACTCAAATCTAGATAAACTAGTGACTTGAAGTGGCTCCAACAATCTGGAATTTGTCCAGATAATTGATTGTTTGAAAGGTCTAGACTGTATAAAGTATCGGCTACACCACTGGCACATAAAAATGAAAGAGAATTTGAAAATTTATTGTTTGATAGATCAAGAAACGTTGAACGTCGTAGAAATGGTGGTATTGGACCTTCAAATTGATTCGATGCAAGAATTAGAGAATATTGAAGATTCTTTAGTGGAAAATTTGAAACTACACCTTTGAGATTGTTGTGTGAAATATTCATTTCCATCCACTCTTGCGACGCTATTTTAGCCCAAAACCAACGTGGAACAGTATCTGATTATTCCAGCATCAGAAATGTCAATAGTGGTGTAGTTATTTTGTGTTTGCAACCATTTGGGAAACGCTGGACCTAGCTTGCAAGATCTCAATCTGATGATGGCCAACTGAAATGGTGGGACCCAATTGTGGGTAAATGCCAAGGCCAATGAGTTATCAGACAAGTCCAATGAGAATAACTCAGACATATTAGCAAAGTGGGAGTCAGTGATCACACCTTTCATAGAGTTTGAATTCAAATATAAACTCCCTAGTTCTGTTGGAAATTTAACATCTTTAGGAATGGTCCCATTAAGCCTGTTTTCACTAAGATCCAATTCTTTCAAAGATGGGAGCAGTGGACGGAGGTTGGGCAGAGTGCCGTTGATTTGATTCATGCTTAGATCTAATTCTTGCAATGAGTATCTAGCATATCTTGACAAGTGATGGATTATCGTTGGAAGCTCTTCACTCAAACTATTATTGGACAGGTGCAGTGATTGCAAAGTACCTGCATTTTGTAATGAATTTGGAGCTCCACTCTCTTTCTCCAATTGATCGAATGATAATATGCTGCTTTTAGGTATCTTTACACTTAATCGATTCCCTGAGAGCCAAACTCTTTCGAATTTCGAAAACATTGAGAAGTCAGATATTGTGCCCTTGATTTTGTTGCCATTGAGCTTTATTTCTCGCAGTGAATATCCAGAACACCCAGAAAAGTGACTAAATATCCCTTTTACTTCTTCGCTCAAACTATTATGAGAAAGGTCCAACGAATTCAAAGTACATGTGCTCCCAAATGATTCTGGAATTCCACCTTCTAAGGAGTTCCATTGGATCGACAAAGACTCCAACTGAGGGGGCAATTTGCTACCATCAGGTATTCCATTTAAATTATTTTCAGAAAGATCCAATGTTTTCAAGGTTGAAAACATTGAGAGGTCAGGCAACGTGCCATTGATTTTGTTTTCTCCCAGATCCAATATTTGCAGGGAGTATCTAGCACACCCAGATAAACGATGGATTATCATTGGGAGCTGTGTATTCAAATTGTTAGAAGACAGGTCCAATGAGCTCAAAACACATGCGTTCCCAAATGATTTTGGAATACCACCTTCCAAGGAGTTCGATTGGATCGACAAAGACTCCAACTTAGGGGGCAATTGGGTACCATAAGGTATCTCTCCATTTAAATTATTTATAGAAAGATCCAATGTTTTCAAAGATGAGAACACTGAAAGGTCAGTTAAGGAGCCAATGATTTGATTAATGCTCAGATCCAAATCTTGTAATGAATATCTAAGACAACCACCAGACAAATTATGAAGAATTGATGGAAGATCTTCAATTAAATTATTTCTTTGCATGTTCAAAGAACGCAAGGTGCATATATTCATGATGGATTTCAGAAATCCACCCTTGAGTCCGTTACCTGAGAGGTCAAGCCTCTCAAGCGACTTCATCCTTATGCCAGAATGAGATTGGGAACCCTCTAAGAGGTTACCACCAAGGTCAAGCTCAATAAGATTTGAACTCATGTTTGACACCCACTGGAATATCATGGATGATGTGAAGGTGTTTTCAGAGAGATCAAGGATGGAAAGGGAAGTGGAAAAATTGAAGTTCGAAGGAGTCATTGAATGGAGAAAATTATCGGAAAGGAGACAGCCAGATAACCTTAATTCTCTTAGCTTGGGTAGCTTAACAGTCTTAGTAGCAAAATGATTTGATGGGAGAGCCTCTAAGAGGTTATTAGCAAGGTCAAGCTCAATAAGATTTGAACTCATGTTTGACACCCATTGGAATATGATGGACGATGTGAAGGTGTTTTCAGAGAGATCTAAGACAGAAAGAGAATTAGAAACATTGAATTTAGAAGGCTTCATTGAAAGGATAAAATGATCGGAGAGGCTACAATCAGATAAACTTAGTTCTTTTAGTTTTGGAAGCTTGCCAATCATTTGCAGCCAATGATGAGAACCGTTGAGATTAGATATAGAGACCAAATAAAGTTGGGTTAAAGAAGTGAGATTAGACAGCCACTGACCTCCACCGTGATTCCCATCATCCATTTTGAGAGCATTGTCATATCCATCAAGATAACAAGTTGAACAGGTTCCCAAGCTGAGATGGTATATTTCCTTCTAAATAATTGTCACTGAGATCAAGATGCTGCAACATGGAGAGATTTCCAAGTTGATAAGGGATTGAACCCTCCAAAGAATTCCCAGCAAGATTTAAGTATTTCAAATGTGGGAGAGACCCAAATTTACTTGGAATTTTTCCACCAAAACCAGCATACGAGAGATCAAGGGATCTCAAGTTGTTAAGAGAAGAGAAAAACTCTGGGATATGAATATCTTGAAAATTATTCGAACTGAGGTTCAAATACTGTAATTGTTGCAACTCCATCAATGACTTGTGGATCTCACCGCGGAGTGAATATTCTTCATTGTCATTATCTCCGTGAAGGTCGAGCATGAGTACGTGGGCAGTAAGGTTGCTGCAACGAATTCCCTTCCATTGGCAACAATCTGGAGTGGTCCATGACGAGAGCATGTTGTAGTCAACCACAAGTGTAGCCTTGAATTGAAGGAGAGCTTCCCTCTCTCTTTGTATGCATCTAATTGGCTGTTTGGCAGAGACAATCTGCAACACCAAACACACCATCAATATGCCTTTCATCATTTCTAAACAAACTGAATTCATCGTTGACATCACAATTTAAGTGATCGATCAAATTCACTGAATACAAATAGATTGATTATGGTGAGAAGTTGTATTGCCAATAGCTGTATATATATACACTCATGAACTATGGTTGAATCGGACAGTTGCTGTACTATTCCAAATCAATGGATTTTAACTTTAAAATTATAACTAATATTTTAATCTTCATGTCAAGAATTTTATCTCGTTTTCTTATATTTTGTCAAAATCTTTATTATATTTTAATCTCTATCATTATAATATAATAAAGCATTTAAATTTTAAAGAGTATCAACTATAACATAAAAATTAAATATATAGTAAATTAATTTTTAATTAATATAACGTCATAACGCTATATTTTTTTTAATATTCAGATTATTCTTACGAATATGATTAAAATAATTTTAAATAAGATATCAACTAAAATTTTATTGAATATTAAAAGATGAAAATGTATAATTAAAAAAGAGATCTAAATGTAATTCGTTTAAAAGAATTTTGAATTATTTAATTTAACTCACCAAGTATTTTTAAAAAATTCCAATTATATTTGTTTTGGTTGAATATTGTTGTTATGTGTAAAGAACAAAAAAAGAAATTATAAGATCGAAAATTAAGATGGAACTTTTATATTTGTACTTAATAATCATGTGTGATATCTTTATGAAATTCAGTATTGGTGTTATGCCGACCGAGCTACCCACGGTTTATTTTTAAAAAAAATAAATAAATAATTATATATAAAATAATATTTTGCACATTTTTTCTTTATATTACTAAGTGTTTAAAGTAAGAAAAATTTTCTAAGTTATAAAATCCTATTGGAGGATCTACCTTTCAAGGAGATTTGGAGAATCACATAACTTCTTCAAGAAGGTCATATTTTGAGCAGTTTTGACAGAACATGAAGACACTAAAAACTGTTTATAAAATAAGATTGACAGGAAAATATTCTAAGTCTACAAGACTGAAGGTCTTTCAAAAAGTTTTTAAGGATTTTTACGTCCCTTACACTTAAAACTGCTCAAAAAATAGGACTAACAGAAAAATATTCTAAGTCCCACAAGACTGAAGGTCTTTTGAGAATTTTTTGAGGATTTTTAAGTCCCTAGCACCCAAAACTGCTCAAAAAATAGGACATACAAGATAATATTCTAAGTCCACAAGACTAAAAGTCTTTTAAGGAGTTTTTTAGGATTTTCAAGTCCTGACCCCAAAATTGATCAAAAAATAGGAACTGACAAGAAAAATATTCTAAGTTCACAAAACTAAGCGACATCCCAAACTTCCCTTAGATTACTTGAAAAATAGAAATTAATGAGGAAATTAAGTCAACGAAACTGAATAAGCTCTCAAATTTCTCCTAGAATTGATCGAAAAGTAGAGACTAAGGGAGAAATTATTCTAAGTCCACATGACTGAATAAGCTCTCAGATTTCTCCCAGAATTGGTCAAAAAGTAGAAATTGAGGAAGAAATTATTCTAAGTCCACAAGACTAAAAGAGCTCTCAAATTTCTTCTAGAATTGATTAAAATGTAGAAACCGATGGAGAAATTATTCTAAGTTCACAAGAGACATGATAGAGCTCAAAAAGTGATATCGAAAGAGTTACAAAGCTCAAAGTAGTTATCAACGTTTAACATCAGTGGAAGGTTCAAGACACGAAGAAAGATTGTGGGTGATAGCAATTATGGAAAAAGCCTCAACTGACAGCACGATCATAAGCAATCGTAGATAATGGACAACAACAGTTGAAGGCAAGCACGTATGGAAGACGATTGTTGAGCGGTGCTTGTGAAAATAGGAGATCGGGGATGGTTTATTTGCTTATAAATACTGCAATGCTTTACATCACCGTGGACGACTTTTTGCACCCATACACTGCACTTAAAAATTTCTCCACGCTGAAACCCTGCATCGCACTAGACACCAGCTTCTCGGATACACACAATTACTGTTGTTCATTGTTGTTAAGGAGTTGTACGTTTATGTTGTGCACATTTAAGTTTCTTCCTTTGTTTTCAGTTGATTTAATTCGCTTATTTTTGTAACACCCTCTTTTTCATTATTCAGTAAATTATGTTTTGTTTGATATTAAGTAGTATTATAATACATTTAGAAGAGAGTATGAATTATTTTGGAAGGATTCTGGTGCAGGAGGTCTCGCTCAGGCGAGGAAAATATCACTTAAGTGAGACTGAGTGCCCATGAAGATGATGTTTTAGGATAATCTCGCTCAAGCAAGATACGATAAATTCAGCCCAATTGTCATCTCGCTCTAGTGAGAGTGATCTCGCTCAGGCGAGATGGGTCGCTCAGGCTAGGACTCACAGGAAAAACATCATGTCCTCTAGACATCATCTTGCTCAGGCAAGATGGAGCTCGCTTAAGCGAGCATATCAGAAAATGTTGGGCGAGACCACTATTTGCATATATCGCGCGCGGTACTAAGGGGTATTTAAGAGATTTCCAGAATGAAAATTTTATTTCATTTCAAACTCACGTTCCCTTCTCGTTTTCTCTGAACTCTCTCTTCTTTTCTCCAAAGAAAAGCCTTAGAAACTCTGGTTACTCTTTAAATATGAGCTTAGACGTTGAATCTAAACGATTCCAAGTAAGTTTCTCTGGATAAAACTTTATTTTCTCTGATCATTCTTTATATTTTTCATTCTTTACGGATATCTCTTGGTACTCAAGAGAACTTCTATATTTGAACTATAATCTTCGTCAATATCTTTCCGTAAACTAAAGTTGAGGTAAGGAGGGCTCTATTTTGTCGTTATATTACAGTATTTATTTTGTGCTCATTGGAGCACTGTTACATGAACATTTCATAAAAAGATGTGGTTGAAATACACACACACACACACATATATATATATATATAGTGTGAATAATGGTTGAAATATGTTTGTTTGACTGCTTGAACTAATTAGTTATTACATGCTTATATGCATTATATGATGAGTATTTAATATGAAATATTATTAAACTTGCTAAGTAATTATGATGTGATTTGATAGAATATGTCTGGAAGAAATTTTATGATAAAGTGTGATACTGATCTAAAGGATTTAGTAATTGTAAATATATTAAAAAGGGGTATAAGTGGAATAGATTTAGTCTGAAAGTGCTTTACTAAGCACGGTCTTATGAGTAGAAAAAGAAAAGGAATAACTCGAAGAATGATTTTAAGTGTTGGATATGGATTGGATGTAGTATAAATAGTTACAGAGATACATTGGGGGCATAGAGTCCATAGACGATGAAAAATCTAGGAAAAATGTAGGGTGGTGAGTAACATTCGCGTATGTGTACATGCTCTTTTTGAGAGCGAATATGCCACTTAGCTTCACACTTATTTCTTGAATAGACTCTTAACTATACCTTTGTTAAGGGGTCCATTATTGTATACATTGTATCTTTATGCATGGGCTAATCGGCGACTATTTACCTAATTGAGTAAGCCCTCAAGAAATGCAAGAGACATCGATATCTGTAATCACAGTGCACTATGTATTGGAATGAGATAATGGATAATGTATAATAAATTGTTAAGTTGTGAATATGTTTGCAATATGAATAAGTGTGAAAATGAATATATTGTATGTATATTGTAAACTATGATTATGTGATATAATGATTTATAAATGATAGAATAGACACTCATCCTTACTAATATTTTTAGGAAAACAGGATGACAGAGCCTTAGGGAAGAGTTAGACTAATAGATAGTTCAGTACATAATAGGCTTAATTATGTATTTAATAAATATTAAAAATTATGTTATTTTAAGTTTGTTGTTATTGTTGAAGATGTACCTAAGACTTTTATTATGTTAGAGGCGAATTTTTTTTATAGTATCCCTTTCGATTTTTCTAGGAGTAGATTACATCAGACCTTATATATTTATATCTATAGTGGTATTGTTAGAACACTAGCAGCCCTCACCTATTTATTCATATATAACGATCACGACCATCTCAAAAGACTGTCCAGATGGACCTTTGAGCGAGTGACTGGTACAGAGGTCACAGTTGATTCAGGCGATCGTTACCTTGAATCAGACGATGACCTTAATTTTGAAGATCTGGCAAAGATAGAGAGCTGACATGAAATTGACTAAGAATGGGGTCTTAGTGTTGAATTGTATTTTGAGGACTAGTCTGGGACTTAAATCTATTTATATGTGTAATTATTTTGTCTATGTAAATATTATCTTAAGTCTCATATTATGATGAATAGTTTGTAAATTTTTATATTTGATATTTGTAATATATTCATGTTTTCCAATGAGAATATTTAATTCTGGTTTATGATATTTATTTGTTATTTGTTATTATTATTGTTGGACCATTAATATTGCAAAATATGAAAATTTTGTATAAATAAATCTATCTAAATGAAAATTTGATTAATTTGCTATGATAAAGTCCAACACACACAAGAATTGGTGTTTTATTTCAAATTATTAAAAATAAAATATGCATTTTACGAATTTAAAATTTTAGGATATTACAGTTTCTATTGCTGTAATTTAGTTCTATTTTACGTTTCCTGTAAAATTTTTACTTTCAACTCAGTTCTTATGTTGTTATTATTCACTATTTTGGTTTAGTATTATTTTACAGCGTCAATTTAAGCATTGCATTTAAACAGCACATAAAAAAATTTAAGAGAACCTAAATTTAGTCCTTATATTGCTTTTGGATTATTTGTTTACAAATTATTTTTTTTTTATAAAAACTAAGTAATTATATCTTCAATTTGATGACAAATAACTAAGTTTTACAAAATATAATTGATATTTCAAGAAAAAACTAATCTGACACCTTCAAAGTGGTAATAGACATGAAAAAGTCTCTAGTCAACCCGTCACATACACAATATGTGGTTGGTTTATCACTGTATCGGACTCGAAGGACTTTGATATTCAAATTTAAAAAGAAAAAAACTCCTTTGCTGTGTACAGAAAATAGGACAATAAAAATTTCAA